GTCCTCCACAGTCGCCGTGCGCCGGCATTACGGGGCCCTGTAATGCCGACCAGCCACGGCAAGGCGGCAAGGCGAGCAGCGTCGGCAACACCCGTCTCTGGAGAGGGGACGAACGTGGGGTAGCGCAAGCTATGCGATATGATCAGACGCCTCCTGGACACGTAATCGAAGACGAATTACCGCCTTTCCGTTTGCACTCACATGCGCCAGCAATTTCAAAGGACGCGCAAAAAAAGGTCACCCAAAAGCCTCGGGTAACCTTTGTCGGAGGGGCCAAACGAACCGGAAACAACGGGAACGCCGGAACGCAAGAGAGCAGCGAACCAGCTGCAAGCAGCATGGCTCTCAGGCACCTCGAGGCACCGTGATCGGCCATGTCCGTGTCGAGATGGGGACGAAAGGGGGGCAGTAGAGCAGACATGTTTAAGTCAGCGGGCGCAAACGCGCCGAAACAGGTGCAGGCGCCGGTCGGGCTACGGGCGGAACGAACCGAAAACGAATTTGGGCACGGCGGAACGCGGGAAGAGCAGAGGGGAGGAGAATACAAAGCCGCTCAGCAGAATAGAACTGAAAGAAATCTAGGGGCACGTCTGCCGTCGGGCCTGGAGCTCCCTGGGGTGCCCCCAGCCTCCCGTTGGCCCCCCAGGGCCATCGGGGGGGAAACATCGGCGACTCCTAGAAAAGTGTGGTTTGCAAAGGGTGCGGTTTGCAACCCGCACGCTGGGGGGTGGGCGAGGACCTCCACAGAGTCCTCCGCCGCGCCCCGAGGAGGCCCGACGAAGGCAACGTGGTGTCCCCCAAGCCCACACGGCGCCGATCGCAAGCCACACCCCGGCGTAACCACGCCCTGTGCAGTCGCCGAAGGAAGCTTCCGTGGGGCACCGGCTGTCAGGCCGTTTCCTTCTCTGCCGTGCATGCACTGCAGCGACTCGGCTGCAGGCGGCTCGCTCTCGGGCACCTCGAGGCGCCCAGAGCGACACCATCCACGCAGAGGAAGGAAACAGCGGCATGAGCATGAACTCTCGGACGTCCGCGCGGACGCCTCGAGTCGGCGCTGGAACCTACTGCCCGGCGTTGGCGCCTCCGGCGCCAGGGGCGGCGCTGGACGCGCCGCCGGTGGAACCCCATGGCCGATCCAAGAAATCCGCGTGGACCTGCAGAAATGAATGCCGCTTTGTCTCCGTCGATTTCGGGCCCCCGGGCCCTCGGGCGCAGATCCCCTTGGGGGCATCACGCCCAGTTCGCCGGGGGGGCCCGGGAAACGCCGCGCTCCCTGCCGAGGCTGGTCTGCCATGGCTGCCCAGCCCGGGAGGACGGCTCCCGTGCGCGAAGGGCCGCGGGCCCTCTTCGAAACACACCCCTCTGTCTGGAGCCCAAACAGCCGCGGTGGCTCCCCCCTCACCGCATCCGCCATCCCCCTCACCGCCAATCTCTCCCCCCCCTCCGCCCTCGCCCTTGTATTCGCTCCCTTCCTGTTCCTGCCCCCCCCTGTTCCTCATCCCTCCCCCATCCCACCCTCTCCCTACCCCTTCCCTACCACGCCTCCCCCTCCCACCCCTCCCCCTTTCCCCCCCCCCCCCCTCCTACCCCTCCCACTCCCCCTCCCACCCTCTGCCTCCCCCTTCCCTCGCCCTCATAGTCCTTTCCATCCACTCAGTCCCCCCGACCCCCGCACAGACGAACAACACAAGTATACTGGACGCAGTTGGAACCTTCTCCCGACGATCAGCCCACGCCAAGAGTGAAACCATCCCCACTCCATCCCGCCCAAGGACCCAGCGACAGGGTGCACAGTCGGGACTGAACGCAAAGGACACCCGAGAGGACACAAATCACTTCCGAAGGCAAAGCATGCTCCAACTATGAACCATGCTCCACACACCGTGGATAAAATGAGGTCGGGAACACACTGGCCACGCCACACAGCAAGGAGCGACACGCGTTTCACGAGCAACTTCCCAGTTCTCCAGCGCTCCTGCCTGCTCTGGGCTCCTGCCACGTGGGGTCCCTGCTCCCTCCGTGCCCTGTGTCAGGTGTCGGGCGACACGGCGGGGGAGGAGGCGGAGTCGTCCCCCAACCTCCCCGAATCACCCCCCTCCTCACCCCTCTCTCCCAAATCTGGCGTTAGCGGCGAGCGCCAAGAGCGCGAGGCGAGCGCGAGCCTCTCCTCCGCAGGGCCTCGCTGGGGCGTCTCCACAAGGGGGGGGGGGGGAGGGGCGGTCGCTCGCGAAGCCCTCGAGGAGGCCCTTACGGAGGTCGCCGAAATCCGATCGGGGGTCGCCCCCGCGGAGCGAGGTCCCCGATGAGGTCCTCGGGGGTGCCGTGTGGGCACCTCCGGGGGGTCTCCAGAAGGAGGGCGTTCCTAAGAGGTCCTGGGACACCACCCGGGGGTCTCCTGAGGGCCCCCAGGCGAAGATTGCCGATCCCTGGGCTCAGCGCCCGATGTGTGCGCTGCTGCCTGCGGGGGGGCCTCCCTGCGACACCTCCGAGGCAAACGGCCGCAGACGGGGTGCGCCTCTGCTGCTGCCCGCGCCGTCCCGCCTGTACCAGAGCAGCTCCGCGACCGTGCCCTCCCTCCCGCCTGTACTAAAACGGCCCTCCTCCTCCTCCTCCTCCTCCTCCTCCTCCTCCTCCTCCTCCTCCGCCTCCTCCTCCTCCTTCTCCTCGTCTCCTCCTCCTCATCCTCCTGCTCCTCCTCCTCCTCCTCCTCCACCACCACCTCCTCCTCGTCCTCGAGCAGGCGCCTGCGCCCTGCCAACAAGTTGCCTCAGAACGCTCCAGGAATGCGCCCCCTCCGAGCGGCGGAGAATCCGACGTCGGAGGGGCCGCCGGAATGCCAGGACGGGATAGGGCGCACAGAGACATACTAATACTATATGTCCTCCTTGGAGGCGCGCGTCCGACCCGAACATATCGTATACCCGTCTTGTAGTACATCGTTTCCCGAGCCGTCTGGCCAGAAAGCACCCGCCAAGACGCATACACTGTACGATTTCTCGGTGCGCGCGTCGCCCCTGATGGGGGCGACGCACATGTAGTATAAACATGTTTGATGGGCCAGTTTTCCACCACCACTACCATAGGTAGGAGAGAGAGGAGCACGAGCAGGAGGAGGAGGAGGAGGAGGAGGAGGAGGAGGAGGAGGAGGAGGAGGAGGAGGACCTCCTCATCCTCCCTTCTCCCCCGTCCTATGGTAGTGGTGGTGGAAAAAGTGTCCTTCAATGTTGGGGTGCCGCCGACGGGATGCTCGTTCTGGGGGCTTCCCTGGAGCCAACCGCCCCCACTCCTGCGCCGATGCTGCGTCGAACTGCCGTCGACTGGAGTCGAAATGGAGTCGAGCTCGAGTCGACCCGCAGGCGACCCCATCGAGGCACAGAGTCGAAGAGATCCGTGAGGTGGGCTCCAAGACAGGCCCCCAGAACCCACACCTGGCTCGAGGGCCGCCCCCTCCGAACGGACGAACGAGCGAACCACCACTGGGTAGGAGGGCACCAACTATACACCAACACCGATCCTGGCCAGGATCACCCTGGGCCCAGGATCGGTGTATACGCCCTCCTGCCTTGCGCAAGAAGGCATATACACCGATCCTGGGCCCAGGGTGATCCTGGGCCAGGATCGGTGTTGGTGTATAGTTGGTGCCCTCCGACTGGGGACAATCGTCCGGGCCCGGCTGAGACCAGGTGGGGGGCGCCATGGCCTCTTGGAGGATACGAGCACGCAGCGCGCCTGGCAAGCAAACGAAAACTCATCCAGACTGAAGGGAGGAGGAACTTGGACACCCGAAGCGGGTACGGAAAAAATGGGTACGATGCTCAATAACAAATGCTGTCCAGCACCGACAGCGGTCGCTGGTGGGCAGGCGGCCTTCTTTTCAAATGGGCAGCGACAGCGGCGACGCCGACAGCGAGCCCTGTCCAGAATGGAAAGGAACTGCTGTTGGACGTTGTGCCCATTGCTTCCGTACCCACTTCGGTCGTCCCGAGAGGAGGGGCAACGATAGGGGGGAACTGGCATAGTATAGGAGGGTAACCTCGACCTGGAATCGGCGATACATCGCCGATGCATCGCCGATAGGCCCCCGATAGCCAACCCCCACGTTCCTGGACGGGGTGGGGCTGTTGGGCCCCCGGCGGCGACCCACGGGCGACTGGGGGTCGGTGCGTCCTCCCCTGTGCCTACCCCCCCCCCCTGGCGTTGCCCCTGATGGGGAGGAGCAAGAAGTCCTGGCTGTGGATCCTGGCGGAGTGCCGTCGTGTACTGAGGGCCGCCCTTCCGAGAGCGGCGGCCGCACGCGCGACAACGCCCTCCGCGGCTCTCGCGGCGGTGTGCGGACAGCCCGCGCGCGCCATGCGGCGGCCGTGCGGCGTCGGCCGCGCGTGGGGTCGGCTCGGGGAGGCGAGGGCGCGTCAGACGAGCTGGGTCTGAGCGGGCGGTGGCAGGAGGAGCTCGGCCACAGCAGGCCTTCCACGAGACACCCGCCCTGAAACCACGGGATGTCCATTGATTGGTTGGTATGGGAGCGGCACGTCTTCACCGCCAAATCATCAGAGCCCATCCTGAAGGCAAGCAGGGCGTCTCTTCGCAGGGGTTCCACTGCAACAGCAGGAAAGGAGGAGGCTGTGTGCTGACAGCGTGGGGCAGGGCCCCCTCTACTCGGGGCAGTCAGAGCTTACCGGTCCGCAAGCGGCTCCTCAAGGACACGAAACTCACACCCCTCGACCTCAGATAGCCCGGCCACCACCTCAGAAGAGGAGGAAATGGAGGAGGAGGAGAAGGAGTAGGAGGAGGAGGTGGAGGAGGTGGAGGAGGCGGAGGAGAAGGAGGCGGAGGAGGAGGAACGGAGGAGGGGGAGAGGGAGAGGAGGAGAGGAAAGGAGGAGGCGGAGGAGGACAAGGAGGAGGACAAGGAGGAGGAGGAGGAGGAGGAGGAGGAAAGGAGGAGGAATATTGGGGGCATTGACGAGAGAGGGCCGCCCCCCTCCGAGCGGCGGCCGCGTC